TCAATATTTAAAAAGGTAATAGAAAATAATATGAAAATTATAGAGGCATCTGTGTGACAAGCTCATTCTGAAACTGCTAGGAAGAATAGTATAAGTAATATTGGAAAAGCAGTATGTTCAAGGTGAGGAGCAATGTGGATTTACACCTGAGAGGTCCTGTATTAACCTTATTTTCACTCTGAGATAGCTATTAGAGAAACAAATGGATAAATCAAAAAGACTTGATTTAATTTTCATTGACTTAGAAAAGGCATACGACAGTATGCCTCACAATCTCCTATGGGAATACATAAGGAAGGCTGGAATTGATCATGGAATCGTGAACCTAATGAAAGAAATTTATAGAAATAACAAGTGCCAGATAAAAATAGGCCCAATATTATCAACGGAATTCTAAAATGGATAAGGGTTGCTGCAAGGATACTGCATGTCCTCCACTCTATTTAAATATCTAAAAAGATGGGTGAAGAAATGTGGGAACATTTTTGGAGAAGAGCAGCTAAGATATCCTACGACGTTATAGGATCGAAAGAGTAAGAAACGCCACTATAAGGGAGAGATTGGAAATAAATAAAATATTCTAAAGGTGATGGAAGAAAGGAGACTCAGACGGTATGATCCTATGAGATGAATAGGTGACAATAGGATATCAAAGATAATTATGGATTGGGAGGGAGAGTGCAGAATAAGGAGACGAAGATCCCCAGTTTGATGGAAGGATAGAGTTGGTGGAGAGTATGGCTCGTATGGGACTGTTGGAGGAGGATGCAGTGGACCGGCAGAGATGGAGGAACTTGCTGAGGCAGGAGTTTGTTTGAGGAAAGCTTCATATTAAAGAAATTCCTATTTCTTTAATAGGAAAAAACAAATATATATATATATATATATATATATTTGTAAGTTTTTTTTTTTTTCACCTTACGCTGTATGGTCAGGATTCTTCCACCATAAAGGTACTATTTCGCTGGTACTGTCCACGGCACCGACCGCTTGCGGTTGATCGCTGCTTCAGTGGAATAGAAAGGAACCTATTTCGTTGGTGCTGCTCAGCAGTCTAGGTATGACATCATATCTAGGCTGCTCCTATATGACCGCTCCTGAAGCAGTGGACCTGTTGGTGGTTCGGCGGTTATAGGTTGTTATCATATCGGAGCATTGTTTTGATGATAAGTCACCTTGATACGTTTTATTTCCTAAAACTTTTATATTTCCTTCAAGTCTGGCAAATTATAAGAAATATTATTTAAAACTTAAACTACGCAATAGTAACTTATTTTTTTAAGGTTGAAGTTACAAGATTATTTATTTATTTCACCAACAGTATTTTACAGCGAAATTCATGCATACCTAAATCCAAACAACATTATAAATTAAACAATCCAACAAATTTTAACGTCAGGTAAATACAAAAATCCACACATTGAAAAATTAATCTGTATTTTCTGATTAAAGTGCTGATTTACTTATTACTATTGATAAAACATCGCCTGCTGTGATTTCATTACAAATATATGGTATTTATTACTAATCAATTATGTAATAATTACTATATCATTTTCTATCATATACAAAACAAAATTTACTTGACATTTATTCAATCTAAAAAAATTTCTAAATTTCTCTTCGTCAGCCATCAAATGGGTAGTTGTCAATTTTGTATAAAACCCTTTCCGCTTTTTTGTTCGGAATATATTGCTGATATTCCGTCTTTTTATTACCAACATTTCCTCCTCTTCTTCTTCCTCTTCTTATATAAAAGCGGTAGTAAGAGATAATAAGTCAATTTTTTTTATCTTCAAAGTTATAACGAAATGTTTGAAGGTTATTGGCAGGTTATAACAACCCCAGTGAACAGTTTCAGTGAAATAGCTACACAATAGCAGTTGGCAGTGTGAAATAGCGTGGGCAGTACCAGTGAAATAGTACCTTAAGACCTCTTGCAATCCAATAAAGTTTTGCCAATTTTGACCCACCACTATTGTCAAATGAGAAGTTCTGTCTTAGTTCTTCCAGGCGAGAACATTCATATAAATGATTTGATGTAATGCCTGAGAATGTGCTGCATAATGAGTAGCGAGGGTCATCTCTTACTCCAATTCTGTAGAGGTGAGCATTCAAATAGTCATGATCAGTGATTGATTGGAAAGCGGCAACAGACTCGTGCCAGAGAAGATCGGATGGAACATGACAATTTGGATAGAGAAGGGTAGTTCACTGTTTTCTTTCTGTGCACTCTTGGTAAAATTGTTGCATTTTATCTTTTAGATTTGTTTTAATACATCTTTTAGCAACAGGAAATTTAGTCAATGAGAGAGGCATGACCACCTTGGAGCCTTGTTTGGCTAGGCCATCAGCTTGTTTATTATCTGAGGTTCCATGAGAATCCATTGTAGTACCTTCAAATTCAATATCACCCTCAATATTTAACCTTCCTCTATCCCTACAATGTTCCTTGTGAATCTTCCATTGTTTGAATCAATGCTGGAAGTCTTCTTCAGTCAGCTCCTTCAAGACGCACACCACTTTCTCTTTTATAGCTTCAATGGACTCAGCTTTTGTTTTTTAATGCAAATTTCATCTTAGGAAACAGATAGAAGTCACACGGCACAACATCCAACGTATAAATCATTGCTTTGAATTTTGATTTGCTTATCTGAACTTTTTTTGCTCTCGGTGAAGTTGGTCTCTTCCAGTGCATGGATTGGCTCTTTGTTTCATAAACATGAGTAAAAAACAATATGATTTGTCACATCACATAATCCTTTCAACATTTCAAGTTTGGGTCATTTTCAATGGCATTCAAAGTGTCAGTACCATCGTTTATTTCTATTTCTATTTTATATTAGTTATATTATATATATTAGTTATATTTATATTAGTTTATATTTATGTTACCATCGTTTGTGAATTTCTTGTTCAAACGTGAGAATTTTTAATAATAATAATAATAATAATAATGCTTTATTTATTCTGGGATGAGTCCCTTTAGAATAATACAGAAAGACAAAAATGTGGGCTAAGGAGCCTCAGAGATACATAAACAAGAATATAGTTTGATTAATAGTCAAAATAATAAAAGAAATTATAAGTTACTTTCTAATTTAAATTAGTTAATAATAAAAAATAAAAAATTGAAAATAAACATTAATTAAAAATAATGAAGAACGATCTAATAAATTATATACATATTTGCAGTAGTAACTATTTACAATTTTATGAGGACTGGATGGACAAGAAATTATTAAACAGTTGGGATTCAAAGGTAGGAAGGGTTTTGGATTGATGGATGTGGGGAGGGATAGAGTTCCCAAGGGATGAGGATCGGATAATGAAAGATCTGTCGAAAGCAGCGGTTCGGTGGGCCTTTATGTATAAGTCAGAAGATTGGGAACGAGGATTACAGGAACGAACAGAGGATTTGAATTGAAGGAGCTCAGAGATGTATGAAAGACGGTGTGATTGGATAACTTGAAAGAGGAAGGATGCCAGGAAATATTTACGATGGTAGGAAGGATAAAGGACTTCAACTCTGCATAAAAATGGGAAACGGGGCGTCTATTGGGATCCCGAAGATGAATTGTACAAAGCAATTTATCAAACGTTGTATTTTTGCCTCGAGATCCCCAGAGACGCCCCCATATACCGTGCAGCAATAGTCGAAGCGGGGAAATATTAAGGAGGTGACCAGGAGTCTACGGATTTCAAAAGAAAAAGGTGTCACAGGCTATTTAAGTGTTAACCTTTTAGAACTATTTTGGTACACACTCTTCTTATGTTAAAATTGTGATGTAAAATTTTCGATCTTTATTCTTTGTCAACTCCTACAGTTTTAATACTTGACCAACGATTAGATTACTTTTTTTAAATTTATATTGTCATTTATACTTAGCAGGGAAGAGTGGCCCAGGTGTGAATCATCTACAGTATCTTCTTGGCAATCTTTAAAACGCTTGAACCACTCAAAAACATGTGCTTGCTATAAACATTCATTGCCACACACTTTTGTTAATAAATTATAATTTTCAGTAGTGGTTTTTCTGTGAAATTTCACAATCGTTACTCTATTGTTGCACTTAACATCTTTCCGACAAAAAAAAATCTCTATTGCGAACAAAGGCTGTAGTTATACAGATTTGTTTACAGAAGGGCACTGTTTACTGTACATAAGGGTACAGGGAGGTAATTCGAAAGAGAAATCTTCACTTTAAACAGCTATAGGTAGCTGGTATTTGGCGCATGCGTACTTCTTCTGTTGCAGTGTTGTCTTGTTTCTTTATAGCCACATCTCGTATTTATAAAAATGTTTTATGTGTAAAGCACCATGATATTAAAAAAAAGGTTGATGAAGATAAACTATAGCAATAAAAACTGGTAATATTTGCTGAACAAAAGCCATCTAAATTCTAAGATAATTTGAATTTCTTGAGGTCACTTTAATATTAGAAGCAATACCCTGCTTCAAATGGCTGACACTTTTATGAATATTTCAGGACTTTTTATTTATATATTTTTTTTTTATGGTTGCTTATTTTGTTTTGTTTGTTTTAAAAACTGAAACAAAAAATAAGATTACAATGGTCTTTTGCCAATGAGCAATGAGTACTTTTAAATAAAAAAATAAAAAATTATACTACTGTAGCAACACTAATAGTTTCTAATTAAACAATGATTTATGTAGGAAAAGGGATTTTGCAAGGTGTTCTGGCTAACCTTCTGTTCGATATAGCACTGATGAAAGTAGTAAATCCTGTTACATATATTTATTAAATTAATTTATTTCAATAAAGATTAACCTATAGTGACTAATCATATATTTCAATGATACAGGGACAGGGCAAACTATTGATTTAGGTTTCATTAAGTTAAACGTTTACAGCATTATTTATTGTGTGCTTTAAGGTTTATATAACTGTTGAGGACAATTTATATCAACAAAGATTGAAATCTCAAGACCTTCATATCAAACTAGTTTTTCAGTTAAATTTTTTGTTTTATTTTAGCACAGCATGATGGATTTACTTGGCTTCAGAATTGAAGGTTTATTTATGGCCTGCACTGTTCCTCTCATTTTGACGATGATTCTTTTTCTCGGACCATTGACCATGCAAAGTCACAGTGACAATTGGCAGCTCTATGCAGGTAGATAACAGATTGTTGTATTTTTTTTGTTTTATTTCATTGTAACCTTCTGGAAGGAAGGGTTCTTTATGTTTTGATAACATACATGTTCCTTGTGTAGCCAGTGTTTTAATGTAATTAATTCATTTTCATAGGTCCTAAAAAATAAAATATACTTGTGATCAGGTCTGACAGCTTTCTAAAATCTTTATTTTCCTTTCCTATCCTCTTCCTCCATTTAAATTCCAAGAATAATTTGTTTTCAAAACCTTATCTGGAAAACCATTTAGATCAAATTTCTAGCTTACACATTTCCTTTATCTTCTGAACTCAACAACTTTCTTCTTCTCACTTATTTTTTATTATTATGACTCATTGCCTGGTTTGTCTCAGGTGAATAAATGCACTATAAGATTGCCAAGAAAGGTTACTGAACTGTTTTCTATATACTGTCTGGTAGAGAGTATATAATGTGGTAATTTAAACTACCTCTATTTCAGCTGACGTACTCAACATTCATTTTGTCTCCTGTACATCCTATCCCTCTGTCCAAGCACCAGCTTCACTCCTCATGCATCTCTCCTGTAATCCAAATCATTTTTTCTTTTCGCATAGTACCCTTGACGACCTCCTTAAATCCATTTGTAAATCCCAAACCATAGATTTCGGACTAGATAATATCCCAGTTAAATTAATTAAATCCTCACTTCCTTCCATTTTCCCAATCCTTTATCATATCTATAATATTTCACTACAAAGTTCCACTTTTCCCAGCACCTGGAAAACCGCCCTTGTTCGTCCACTGAACAAAATCTCTAATCCCACAACCTCTAATGATTTCGCTGTTATCTAACCTTTCCAAACCTTTAGAACGAATAGTACAATCCCAACTATCCCAATATCTCGAACAAAATAACCATTTAACTGCTTCCAGTCTGGTTTTAGACCTGACTACTCCATTCATTCTGCCCTCATTAAAATCTCCCAAGATCTCCACCCAGCCATAGACTAACAGAAACTCACTATCCTGATCCTTCTTTAATTCTCTAAAGCATTCGACTCAGTTGGCCATAATATCCCCCTAACCAAACTTAAAAATATTTTTTACCATCTAGTGCCCTTAAGTGGTTCCAATCCTTTCTCACCGATCGTACATTGTAATTCCTAATAACCCTCAATCAATGTCTCTACCTCTGTCCATTATCCTCCACTCTTTTCCATCTACATCAATGACCTCCCTTCCTCTATCATGCACTGTCAATATCACCTATATGCCGAAGACATTGTTTTTATATTAATTTATTATTATTAATTATTATAATTTATAATTACAATTATAATTATAATTATATTTGGTTGTACATATGTAAGAAAATTACATTTGAATATTAGATAATATTGAGACATGGTTAATAAGTAAACTGAATTTAAAGTGGAAAAAGGATGATCATAAATTGATGTAGAGTGTAAATATAAATTTAGAATAAAATAAAATAAAAGAGATATGATCAGTAATATGATTTCTAACCACCTCCAACACCCTCCATCCCGTTCGTCTCCTTTATCCCCTCTGTTTTTTAAAGATTTATCCTTAACCCGCTCTTTCCTGAAAACAAATGACCACCTCATTATTACTAAGGCTGACAAGAGAAATTATTATGGACAAGACAGAATACACTCATAAAATACACCAACTACTTTCAGACCAAACAACTAAGCACCCTCCCCCCATGACCCAACCCGTACACTAATGTTAAAATTCAACCACCACATTAAAAGCTTACTAGAGACTAAACAAATTAACCGTCCCACTTACTACAACCTTATATCCTACAACTCCTTAGCACCCCGCTTATATGGACTCCCAAAAATTCACAAACCTGGAAATCTCCTCCGCCCTATCATCTCCAATATTAATGCCCCCTCAGCTAAACCCAGCAAATTCCTTTTACCCTTTCTCCAAAAACTTAGTCACAATAATCCTTAAGACATTCATAATTCATTCCATCTTAAAAAAGAGTTATTTTCTCTCCATATTTCTGAAACTTTATCCTGGTTTCCCTAGACGCCAAAAGCCTTTTTACCAACAACCCAATAGACAAAGCCCTCCACATTGTAGAGAAAAACTGGACAATCATCGAACCTCACACCACCCTTAACCTCTCCCCATACCTTGAATCCCTTGAGCTTTGTTGCAGATCCGGTTTCCTCAGCTTCCAAGGAAAATTCTTTCATCAGATTTCTGGCTTAGCCATGGGAAATTCTTTAGCACCAGATATTTCCAATATTGTTCTCAATGACCTTCTAGACTCTGTTATCAGTATAAATATGTCGATGACCTCCTCCTTGTTCTTAACCCTGACAGCATCCCCCAAATTCTTTCCTTATTCAACTCCTATCACCCCCGTCTCTGTTTCACTATAGAGAAAGAAGTTAACAAATCGCTCCCCTTCTTAGACCTCCTAATAATAAAAAACAATGACGGTTCTGTTTCTACTGACTGGTACACTAAACCCACATACTCAGGCAGACTACTCAACTATTACTCTCAACACCCATATCACCGAAAAATCAATACCGCCAAAAACCTCATTCACCGATCCCACTCTTTATCCGATCCACAATACCATCAAGCCAACACTCAGCGTGTCAAAAATATACTCCTCTCTAATAATTTTCCTCTCAACATCATACATAAACTTTTAAATTGTTATACAACCAAAAACAATACAACCTCCCATTCTCCCAACTCTTCACAATCATCTACCACTCCTTTCATATGCAAATCTCTCCCCTATATTCCTATCCTCACAGACAATATACAAAAATTCCTAAAATCGACTATAACCAACTTACGCCTTGGCCTTTAAGTCCTATAACAAACTTTCTTTCCTTTTCACCAACTTGAAGGATCCCATACTCTCACAACACCGATCCAATGTAGTTTACCGGATACCTTGCTCTACTCCTAATTGTAATAGCTCCTAAATTGGTGAAACCAAAAACTATCTCAAAACCCGCATTTCCCAACATAAAACGTCCATAACTTCCCGGAATCCTTCCGCCTCCAAACTATCAGAACATGCTCTAACCCTCAACCACTCATTTGATTTCGGAAAAACCTCTATCTTTTCCACGGTCCCTAACTATGAAAAAAGACTCATTTCCGAATCTATCCACATTCACATGAAACAGAATCCTGTGTATCATAAAGTAGACAAAAACTGTATTTCTTTTACATATATACACATTTTAAATCTTATAAGTGAAAAATAACTTAAATATTCTATTCTATTTTTTTTTTTCATCTACTCTCAATTTTTATTAATTAATTCATTTAATTGTTCATTATTCTAAATATTTCCTCTTTGTATGATCTCTCTTTTATTTTATTTTATTCTAAATTTACATTTACACTCTACATCAATTTATGATCATCCTTTTTCCACTTTAAATTCAGTTTACTTATTAACCATGTCTCAATATTATCTAATATTCAAATGTAATTTTCTTACATATGTACAACCAAATATAATTATAATTATTAATTTTTTTCCCTCTCTATACTTTTAAGTTAGTTCTGCAATGTATGTATGTAAATGAAGTTATTTCTATATTTATATTTTACTTTTGCCAATTTTGGGTTTATTCACATTGTACTCTGATCTAGAATCTCTCAACTCTATTTTATATGTATATTTATATATTTATAATTTAATATTTCATAGATTTAGATTCAGTTCTCACCCAATTTTTATATTACAACATCAATCTCAAAGGGGGCAATAATCTCTCCATTTGCATTTCCAATATCTTCAATTCCACTAAAGCACAGAAGAAACTTATACTAATTTCAAAGTTCAAAGATTTGTACCAAGTCACTCTTAAAAATACAATTTACCCTGCAGGAAAAGGAGAATGGGTAGACAATATCTCTTCCACAGACATCCTCTCCAAAGTCATTAACATTTTAAGTTTAGGACCTAATTTTTCTACACCCAACACCTCTGTCAAAATCATTCCACAACTCATCACTGACCTCAAATATATTTACGCTGACGATTTTTTCACCTCTTCAAAAGAAAATAAGGAGTTGTCACGCGTTTCTATCTGTAACATTATTTCCAACTATCTCTTACACCCACCGCTTTCCTCTTGTTCCTTTTCTCCTGAATTTTTCAAAGACCTCCTTTTACCCGATCCTTCTTAAAATCCCATGATAATATAATCATAACAAGGGCTGATAAAGGCAACAAAACTGTTATTATGGACCGTACAGAACATACTGACAAAATGACTCTACTCCTATCAGACCGTTCCACTTAATCTCCTACATCCCGTGATCCCACCTCATCACTAAAAACTAAATTTAACCTACACCTAAAAAAATCTTTTAAATTCTAAACTCATAAACTACCCTACTTACAGAAACCTTATCTCCTACAATTCGGTTGCTCCCTGTTTTTATTCATTCATTCATGTATGGCACAACATCCCGTTACCGAGACTGGGCCTCCTCCAAGAGCCTCCGCCAGTTGGCTCTGTCTTCTGCTGCAGCTCTCCAGTTCCGCACACCAAGCAGGGTTCTCGCATCATAGGCCACGTTGTCCAACCATCTCGTCCTCGGCCTTCCTACCCGTCTTACGAGGTGCAGCTCCTCCATCATTATTTTTTTTGGTATTTCAAGGGTGCTCATTCTGGCCACATGCCCTGCCCACCTTAGTCTGGCCAGTTTAATATACGTGACTACGTCAATGTCTGCATAGAGAGAACTGAGCTCCCTATTTTTTCTTTTCCTCCCTGTTTTTATGGACTTCCTAAAATCCAAAAACCTGGCACCCCACTCCGTCTGATCACTTCCAATATTAATTCTCCTTCAGTTGAACTTAGCAAATTCTTACTACCTTCCTTACAAATTTTCAGCCACAACAACCCTTATGATGTACATAACTCATTCCATTTCCGTGAACAGTTACTCTTCTTTACCATTCCAGACAATTTTATTCTTTGCTCCTTCGACGTTGAAAGTTTATTTACGAACATACCCATAGACAAGGCACTTACTATAATAGACGAAAATTGGACTATCATTGAATCTCACACCTCACTTAACTGCTCCTCATATCTCAAATCCCTTCATCTATGCTGTAAATCAGGCTACCTCACTTTCCAAGGACAATTTTTTAACCAAATCTACGGGCTAGCAATGGGTAACCTCCTCGCTCCCGACATCTCCAACATCGTTCTCAATGATCTTATAGACTCCATTATCCCTCTTTACCCAGACGATATTATCTTTATTCGAAAATACGTAGACGACCTCCTCCTAATCATCAATCCAAATAAAATTCCCGATATCCTATCAAATTTTAACTCTTACCACCCCCTCCTCAATTTTACAGTACAACGCAAACTCAATAATTCTCTCCCTTTTCTTGACCTTCTAATCATTAAAAATTCCAACAACATCATATCCACAGACTGGTACACTAAACCAACTTACACTGGTAGACTTCTTAATTTCCACTCTAAACATCCCTACCACCAAAAAATTAACGTTGCTAAAAATCTCATCCACCGTAGAACTCATTAACAAACTTATAACAGACCACAATAATCGCTCTTCCTTAATCTCGACTTCCATTAATTCTCCACAACCCATTTCAGCCCCTATATACAGATCTCAATCGCCCCTATATACATATCGTATATTCCTAACCTTTCGGACAATATCAACGAAGTTTTACGATCTACTAATCCAAACTTACGTCTTGCATTCAAATTTCACAACACACTCTCTAAATTATACACATCCTTAAAAGATCCTGTTCCTCTCTCACACCGCTCTCATATCGTTTACTGTATTCCATGTTCTACCCCCAATTGTTTTTCATCCTGTATTGGTGAAACCAAAAATCTAAAAGACCGCATCACCCAACATAAATATTCTGTATCCTCTCGTAATTTTACCGCCTCCAAATTATTCGAACATTCTCTCTCCCTCAATCATACATTTGATTTCGACAAAACATCCATCCTTGCCACAGTTCTTAACCATGATAAACGACTCATTTCTGAAACCATCTACATCCGCACCTACTCTAAAAGAGACTCACCTCTCCGGTTGTTCTAAGAACTTCTCCAGATCTTATGAACCATTCCCGAAAACTACATTCTAGCCTCCTTCGACATTAAAAGCTTTTTCACCAACATCCCTATAGATAAAGCCCTTCTTATAATTGAAGATAACTGGTCGTCCTTAGAACCTCATACCTTCCTTAACCGTTCTTCATTTATTGAATCCCTACAACTCTGTTTTAAATCCGGTGATCTCTTGTTCTGTGGACAGTTTTACAATCAAATTGCAGGACTAGATATGGGTAATCTCCTGGCACCCAACTTATTAAACATTGTTCTAAATGATTTTTTAAACACCATAGCTCCTCAGTTTTCAAATGACATATTCCTTATCAAAAATACATCGATGGTCTTCTTTTGCTTGAGTAGGTTGAGGAAAAACATTTTTTGGCAGGATTAAATTAAAGGGTTGGTTGAAATAGATGGGATTAATAACTACCTGTTCAAAAAATGATAACATTTTCTCTTTTTGGCACTGATTTTATTTCTTATAATGACAGTTGTTGATAATGTTTTAAATTATACAATCTTACTTACTATTAGTTTTCCAGTCTGATTTTTAAATAATTTCATCTTGATTATTATTTAATTATATTACAGCTAACATTTTACAGAACCAATGTACTGGTTGAACAACTGCCGGGATTTGGTGTGGTTACGGGATCATGTTGTTGCACCATTCTCTGAAGAATTAACTTTTCGTGCTTGTATGCTTCCACTTTTGATGGACTGTCTACAACCACATGATTCAGTCTTTATTTGTCCTCTATTTTTTGGATTTGGTGAGTAATTAAATTCTTTGTTTGTTTTACATTGAATTTATTGATATTTTGTTCTCAAAAGAATAGTTTGGTTTCCAAATCTTGAAGAATATTTACATAGGTCATGAAACTTCATATATGGTTATAAAACTTGAATACAAATTTAATTAGTTGAGTTATTTCATAAGTGACATATTTTCATAAACAGCCAAAACTTTTTGAGGTCAATCCATAGCCAATCAACCAATGATATTTGACAACATTTATTTATTTTCTACTTATGTTTGAGAGTTTAAAGAGGTATTCATTAATTAATTGGATGATAATTTTTTTTTAATTAGCCAGTTTGTATAGGTGAGTCGACCTATTTTGTGTTTTATAGAGGTTTTCATTAAACTCTATCACTATCTCATTTTTAAAGATATTTGGTTTAAGCAAAAACTATGCTATATAACATAAAATGTACAGTAGTTCCTGTCAAAAATATATAAGCCTCTAATTAATTTTAAAGAAACAAAAAAATAAAAAGGATCAATCTTAACATTGTCAAAATAAAAACCTTTGCTTTTAAAAGTAAGAATGTTAAAACATCTAATTATGCAAGTTGGTTTTTCGCTGTATTTTCACCTGACTGATTCCTGATAATCATTTTGAATTTGTCACTTCCAAACAAGTGATGAATTGATCAATTACTTTTTCCATGGAATCTAATTTCATCTTTGTTAAAAATATATTCATAATTTTTTTTTTAATGTTATTTAGCTCATTTCCACCATGTTGTTGGAAGAGTGAAGAATGGATATAAATTAAGATCAGCAGTACTTCTCTCAGGTTAGTTATTTTATCTTTCTAACATCAGTAGGAAAAGCTAGACATATTTGAATATTGAATACTTTAAGTATTCTTGATTAAAAATTTAGTTCATGAAGTCCAAACAAGTTCAAATTTGTTGTTACAGTAATTAATTTTACTTAAGGATGATCTGGTGCAAATGTTAATCAGGTGACATAATATTTAGCTGAAATACATACATACATAAGTGGCACGACATCCTGTCACCGAGACTGGGCCTCCTCCAAAAGTCTCCGCCAGCTTGTTTAGTCGTTTGCTGCAGCTCTCCAGTTTCGGACTCCAAGAAGTCGACCCGAGTCCGTAGAGACCAAGTCCATCCATCAGACATTCGAGTGTGACATTTATTTTCGAGTATACCACTTCCTAGCCAGTGGACTTCCTGGATCGCTGCTATGTCAATCTGGTAATCGTCAATAATATTAAAGAGCGTCCAAATGGCTCCTTGTCGGTACAGAGACAAATTATTCCAGTAGGCTATACGCATGTCAGTTTGGCGGTTCCTGGTCTTATTCCTTTGAGATAATCCAGTTTTAATGCTTTTAGGAGTTTTCGTGATAAGCATTTTTAAGAGGAGCAGGTTATCAGCCTATTGCCCCCAAATCAGATGGAGGGCCTGCCTCCTCAGTATGTCTTGACGTACTCTTCCTTCCGCTTCCTAGGGGAGGTGATCCTAGGGTGTGTACTGTAGGTGACCTTAGTCTGTAGTGTAGGAGTAAATTTAGTGTGCTGTATGTAGTGTTCTGTGTGTAAAATGTAGTGTATGTGTTCTCCCTACCAGGAGGACCAGTCAGTGGTTAATTGCAACCTGAGGGCTGGGGAATGGAGGTGCCACTTCCCTATGCCAATATTTAGTTGAAATAAGGTTGATAATTTAGTTCTAAAGGCATATTTTTGAGAGAGAATAATTTGATGATGTATTTAACGTCTAATTTATGACTTAAATAATAACAGTTTTTATGAATTAAATGTTTTGTGCTAGCAATTTGTACACAATCTTGTAGCTCTTTTTCAAAATGCTAAAAACTAATTGAAGGTGACAACATTTTGATAATCGAAGTACTAAATGAAGTTAATTTGCTGTGGTCCCCAAGATTTAACGTTTTCCTTATCAATATATTTTTTTAATAACGATACTTCATTAAAGAACTCATTTTCTTGTTGTTTGTTATTAAGTCCAAACAAAGGTAGTAGAATTTTAACAACTGATCAAAAATGCGAACTTTACTTAGCAGTTTCTTAACAATCATTGGTTGTTAATAAAGTTTAACATTATAAAATTAACATAAATAATATAAAACTCATATCCTGGCAAAATATCTACTTGGCTGCCTAAAATCTTATATTCTCTTCCCGTTATCCTGCCGTTCCGTAGCTTGTCATGCATTCTTTCCAAAAATCGGGACTGTCCCGCCAAAAGTGAGACATCTTGTCACCTTACTTTAGTTGTTAATGTTACTGTTAAAGTAACAGTGTAAAAGGAGTGTTATTGGTACTATTTTGTTTCTTTGACAGCTGGCAAACATTTTCAACTCATAACATTACAAATTTCATATAACAGTATTGTTTTAATAATGTTAAACATCTTGATTTATTGTTTTAATAATGTTGAACATGTGCCTACAAACTGTGATTTGTGGACAGCAATATTTTTGTTACGAAACTGAAGAAAACTGCTACAGAATCGCATAGAATGTTTGTTGAAGGTTACGATGAGCATTCCTGTGGTAAATCACAGTGCTTTGAGTGATTTTAAAATTTTGAGGTGAGAAATGAAGAACATGGAAGATCACCTAAAAAATCTGGAGATGGTGTATTACGATTGAATATTAGGGCATGCAGCTTTTTATTTATTTTATTTTTTTTGGCATGATGCACTATGACCTTTCAGGCTGTAAGCCATCATGTAAGCCATTTTATGTTAAAACATTAATTTGGTTGTTTCCACTTATCTTAGTAGACTTAAAGAATTTATATACTCAGCTTTTGTGGTCTGCCGGGTTTAGAACAGGACGACAAACTCAGGATCATATATTCTCCCTAAGAAATGTTATACAGAAATTTTGGGACCGGGATAAAAACATGTATTAAGCTTTCCTTGACCTGAAAGCAGCATTCGACACAGTTCCCAGGCATGAAATATGGGAGGCTCTTAGAGCCAAAAACATCCCAAGGAACTTAGTGGAGGCTGTGAGGTCCATTTATCAATACCCAAAGGGAGTTGTTAGGTTGAACGGGTTGGAGTCCGTTTGCTTTGACATGGCTAGGGGCGCCAAGCAAGGAGATAGTTTTAGCTCACTACTATTTCTAATTTATATGGATGAGGTGGAAGAACAGAAAGGACGTTCCTGGGGAGAAACCTGCGTCCGGTGGTGATGCAGCTTCTGCTATATGCCGATAATGTTGATTTGGCTGAAAAGTTGCAGCAGGCGGTGACTTAATGGTATGAGGAACTCTACCGGAAAAGAATGCAGGTCAATACCAGCAAAAGTAAGGTACTACAAGTAGGAAGGCAAAATGAAGATATGCAAGTACGCTGAAATGGAGAGCAATTAGAAGTGGTCTCAGACTTTACCTACCTAGGAACTGTCATAAAAAGATCGGGGAAAGTGGATTTAGGAATATCCAACAGAATAAGCAAAGCAAATGCAGTTTACCACCAAATTTGCAACATGGTTGTTAAAAGCGAGAGATAGACAAGAACGTCAAGCTCCATATATTTAAATCTGTGTATCTGCCAGTACTTATATACGGAGCTGAAAGTTGGATATTGATAAACATGCAAGAGGGCAAAGTCACTGCTGCTGAAATGAAGTTTCTGCGAAGAATAGTCGGTAAGACTAGAAGGTACCGGGTTCGTAACGAAAGTATAGCATTTCCAAGTCAATTTCAACCTTTTCCAAATCAAATTCAACCTTTTCCAAGTCAAATTAAATCTTTTCCATTTCAAATTCAACCTTTTCCAAGTCAAATTCAACCTTTTCCATTTCAAATTCAACCGTTTTCATTTCAAATTAATGTTTTAAGTTTTTGTAAATTTTATATATATTTTTTTAAATAATGGCCATCCCCTCCCCCCCTCCAATATGAATGTCTATTATTATGCTCTCCTAAGTAGAATTTTCACTTATGGATATCGATTTATTGTACCTATTCGGATTTATTAGGGACTAGTATTATGCTGTTCTGTACCTAGTTTTGAAAATAACCTCCATCTTAAGATTACGTGACTGCGTTTCGAATCATTTAAGTTTTTTTGACTTATTCGATATTTGGGTGTATTTTTATGTTTCCCGATCAGTAAATTTTGAAAATAACATCCATTTTATTTTTACGCCACTGTGTTTTGACTTATTTACGTTTTTAGAATTTATCCAATATAAAGGTCTACTTTTCTGTTTCCGGAGCCGTAGATTTTGAAAACGATCTTCATTTTAAGATTAGGCCACCGCGTTTCGACTTATTTGAGTTTTTCGGATATTTTTCATATGAGGGTGTAGTTTTATGTTTCCGGAGCTGTAGATTTTGAAAATGACCTTCATTTTAAGATTAGGCCACCGCGTTTCGACTTATTTGAGTTTTTCGGATTTTTTTTCATATGAAGATGTATTCTTATGTTTCCGGAGCCGTAGATTTTGAAAACGACCTCCATTTTAAGATTAGGCCACCGCATTTTGATTTCTTTGAGTTTTTCGGATTTTTTTCATATGAGGATGTATTCTTATGTTTCCGGAGCCGTAGATTTTGAAAACGACCTCCATTTTAAGATTAGGCCACCGCATTTCGATTTCTTTGAGTTTTTCTGATTTTTTTCACATGAGGATGTATTCTTATGTTTCCGGAGCCGTAGATTTTGAAAACGACCTCCATTTTAAGATTAGGCCACTGCGTTTCGGCTTATTTGAGTTTTTCGGATATTTTTCATATGAGGGTGTAGTTTTATGTTTCCGGAGCTGTAGATTTTGAAAATGACCTTCATTTTAAGATTAGGCCACCGCGTTTCGACTTATTTGAGTTTTCGGATTTTTTTTCATATGAGGATGTATTCTTATGTTTCCGGAGCCGTAGATTTTGAAAACGACCTCCATTTTAAGATTAGGCCACCGCATTTTGATTTCTTTGAGTTTTTCGGATTTTTTTCATATGAGGATGTATTCTTATGTTTCCGGAGCCGTAGATTTTGAAAACGACCTCCATTTTAAGATTAGGCCACCGCATTTCGATTTCTTTGAGTTTTTCGTATTGTTTTCATATGAGGATGTATTCTTATGTTTCCGGAGCCGTAGATTTTGAAAACGACCTCCATTTTAAGATTAGGCCACCGCATTTCGATTTCTTTGAGTTTTTCTGATTTTTTCATATGAGGATGTATTCTTATGTTTCCGGAGCCGTAGATTTTGAAAACGACCTCCATTTTAAGATTAGGTCACCGCATTTCGATTTCTTTAAGTGTTTCGAATTTTTATCATAAAAGTGTGTATTCTTATGTTTCCGGAGTCGTAGATTTTGAAAATGACCTCCATTTTAAGATTACGCCACTGCGTTTCGGCTTATTCAAGTTTTTCGAATTTATCCAATTTAAAGGTCTACTTTTATAATGCCGGAGCCTTAGTTTTTAAAACGACTTACATTTTAAGATTAGGCCACTGTGTTTCGGTTTTGTTAAGTGTTTTTGATTTTTCCTTCGAATAAAAAACAAAATACGAAGGATTAATTTATTTTTCAATAAATAAATAAAAATATCTAATCAAAATAAATAAAATATGTATTGTCTCATTTTTAATTTAATTTTAGTTATCTTTTTTAATGTTGTGGATTGATGTACTCCAGATATGACATTCTTGGGCGTCCTAGTAGAGCGTAGTCTTGCCATCTAGAGCGTAGTCTTGGCATCTAGAGCGTAGTCTATTGTCTTCAATGGTTCCCTATGTTCCTCCATCCTAATCACATAGCCAAACCATTTTAATTGGCGGATTTCCAGA